CGCGCGGTGCTAATAAAATTGTGACTCTGACATAAGTTTACCTTGCTCCGCGGCTGGCGAAGAATATCGTCTCATACGGGAGGCTGGAGAGCAAAGGGTTTGATCGCGTGTACGACGGCGGCAAACGCGCACTAGCGCGGAGCAGCGACGGTGCAGTCGCGTTTGACGTCGCGATCGACAGCAACGTGTTATACGTTGAGACGACAGCGACACGCGGGAGGCACAGCGGTGAAGATACGATCATGGCCGCACTCGAAGCACTTGAGACAAATGATTATGCCGACGGTGCGAACGAAGCCTCGCTGCTGCACTGGTACCAGCGACTTGGCCACCTCGCGTTCGATACAATCGAGCGCATAGCGCGCGATCCAGCGTCGGGCACCTGACTAAACATCAACAAGCGCATGGCTTGCGTGGCTTGCTTCGAGGGCAAGCAGACACGCAACGCGCAGTCTCAGAAGGACATCGGTTCTAACTCTCCGAACGACAGGATCGGCGGTGTCATCTGCTCGAATCTCAAAGGCCCGATGACGCCGTAGGAACGCCTCGGCAATAGATATATGGTGAACTTTATCGACCATAAGTCGAATTACTGCTGCGTGTTCCTCGCGCGCACAAAGGACGCAGCGGCGAAACAATTTGAGGCTTTTCTAGTTCATTTTGAAAAGCTCTTCGGGTTCAAGGTCCATGTGCTACGGACGGACGGCGGTGGCGAGTACGCCAACGTCGATTTGTTTTGCAAACGCACGGGTGTCGCGCGCCAAGTGTCCGAAGCACGCAACCAGGCGTCAAACGGCAAGGCGAAGAGAATACATTGGACTGTGTTGAACCTCGCGCGCAGCATGATGCTTGCGTGTGCGCTGCCGTTGCAGTATTGGGGGACGCGGTGCAGTACGATGTCCACATATTGAACCGCAGTCCGACGCGAGCGAACGCGAAGAGAGCGTCGCCTATCGAGGTGCTGACGGGCAATGCGCCAGATTTGCGCAGCATCGTCGTCTTTGGATCGTCGTTTAGCGTCTATCGCGACCCGCGCAAGAGCGCGCTGCATCATCGATCGCAGACAGGCATCATCGTGGGTGTGAGGGAGAAGACAAAGAGATACAAGGTACTACTTCAGCGAGAATACAAGGGGGTCGTCAGACAACACGTAACGAACATCTCCACGCTGTCTGATACTCAGAATGCTCAACTGCAGCGCGTGAAGGAGGTCGGAGATTTAGCCAAAGAAGCGGAAGAGGCAGAGTCACTAGCAGGGGTGAAAGCGAGGACTAGCGATGACAATGAAGGAGCGCGAGGTGGTCGCGGCATTTGCAGGAAGAAGAAGAAGCCGTGGGCTCGACAAGCGCACGGGGCGCGCGGCGCGTCGAAGCGTGCTCAAGCAGCTGCACGTCACGAAAACAAAGCTGCGAGTGACGAAGTCGTCAGCGCGGCCTTCGAGCGCGATCCACGCAATTATGGCGAGGCCATACGCAGCTCGAAGCGCGCGGAGTGGCAATAGGCAATGCAAGAGGAAATCGCTGCGCTCGAAAGCAACGATGTGTGGCGCGTGATGAAGCGCAGCCCGGGCGCGATAACCCTTCACTTTAGGTGGATATATTAGACCAAGACTGAAGCCGACGGAGAGCTGGAGCGATACAAGGAGAGGCTTGTCGCATGCGGCAATGAGCAGGGGCTCGGCGCCGATTACAACCTAACCTTTGCCGCAGTGATGGACATTTCGACGGCAAAGGTCGCGCTAGCTCTCGCTGCAACGTGGGGCGTGCCTGCAAAGCACGGATACATCCCAAAAGCATACGTGCGTGCCGAAAAGGAGGCTCACCTCGACATCTTCCTGCAGTTGCCACGTGGTATGAGCGTGTCATAGAGCACTCTGCGCAAGATAGGTGCTGCGCACCCATGGAAGTGACGGCGCATATAGCATCGATCAAGAGGAGGCTATCACGGAACTCCTGCGTGCTCATGGGATGAGCGATGCGAGCCCGACGGAGACGCCGATTGGAGATAAATGGTACGATTTTATAAGCGACGATGCCGCGCTACTGGAGAAGACTAGTATAGCCGGTGGTGCGACGATTAACGCGTTTCAGTCGCTCGTCGGGAGTCTGCTGTGGGTCGCGCGGTGCTCGAGGCCGGACATTGCCTTTGCAGTACACAAAGCGACTTGGCATACGCATGCACCGCGCGTGCACGACTGGAAGCTTGCCAAGCGTGTTGCGCGATATGTAAAGGGCACTGCGAAGCTAAAGCTCGAGATGGCACCGGCAAATAAAGTTGCTACACGTTGCAGTTCGAAGCTTACAGCGACGCCGACAACGCAGCGGACAGGGCGGATCGCAAGTCGCTAACGGGAGGCGTTGTACTATTAAATAATATGGCGGTGTAGTAGACTGCGAAAAAGAAGGGCGGGGTAAGTCTCTCGACAATGGAGTCCAAGTTCGTCGCGGCGTCGGAATTTGCGCGCGAGCTCATTGGCTTGCAACAGATTCCTAAAGAGGTGGGCATGGCGCCAATTGTCTCTATGGTTTTGTACGTGGACAATCAAGCAGCCATCAGCTAGATCGAAGGCGAAGCCTCCTCCATCAAGGCTAAGCACATCGAAGTGAGGCACAAGCATCTGCGCGACCTCGCTCATCGCGGTATTGTTACGACGAAGCACGTTCCGTCCGATCTGATGCTCGCGGACATGATGACTAAGGCCCTCGATGCGACCAAGCTGGGGACGCTGCGGAGTCTGATGCAGTTCCAGTAAGAGCTTGATGCGAGTAAGGTTCGGAGGAGCAAGAGAGGGCAAGATGGATGCGTCGGAGTGTGCGTCATGGTCGAGGCGTGTGAAAGGCGACCAAGGACGAAGGAGCTCATGGATGGAGGGGCGCAATGACACATGCAAGCTCAAGAAATGGGAAAGGGTGTGAGGGCAAGTCACGACCAAGGAGGAGTGTTGGAAATGTTGGATGTTGGAAATGGGTGCGAGGGCAAGAATAGGCGATCGGATTGGTCGGCCGGTGACTTGAGGTTTATTTGGGGCCATGATGTCATTAACTTGCTGTGCGCAAATGGTGGACGCAGAGTGACAAGCATAATAGTGTTTGTATTCAGGTAGAGTCAGAATGCGTGCAAATAGATGATTGGAGCAGAGGGCTTTGGGGAGCACGGTAGAGGAGAGGGAACTAGTAAGAAGCAATACAGAATCTAATCGTCCACCTACTGCATCCTACTGCAACGCATACTTGCCAACAGCAGGGCTAGTTCACGACAACGTTCCGCAGCACGATCTCAGGAGAGGTGTCAAAGCAAACGCACGCATAGACATATGCGGTTGCCGATATCGCAAAGAGAACTGTCCGGAGTTGTAGCAGGCACTTGGAGCTAAACATTGCGTGACAGGCAAGTCAAGAATTCGTGTGCGAATATAGCGATGTATAGTGCACGCGTGTACACGATCTAAAAATATACAATTGTGACTGTAACGGGTCACGTCTTGTGTCAATTCAACACAAGGTTGTGTGCACCCGACGTCGCGTACACGTGGCGTGCGTAATCGCAACGAAGTAGGCAGAACTCGAAAGCTCTGTCTAAGGGTAATAGTAAAACTGGGTTTCATATAGTTATGTTTCTTAATAAACGATCTTTTATTTAGAGCGAACTATATTATACTTCGTTCTCCTATGTGGGTTTCTTGCTCACCACCCGTTGCGCGTGTCCAGAAGCGATTGGTGGTTGATCTGGTTGATATACCGTGATAATGAACCACCAGGTGGAGCAACCCATCAAAGAAATATTACCATCGGGGGTAATATTCCTTCAGCCTTACTCCTTGCGAGTAATGTCAATTGAACATTAATTTAATTTTGAACATTATCTATCTCGATAATGCTCAAAATTTGATATAAAGATATTAATCTTTATGTAACGGGCTCACCCCGTTACAGTGACAGCTAGCGATGCAGTATTTGGCCATAGGTACAGATCGAATCGACATTCAAAGAGATGCCAATATCAACTTGGCATATCACTTGCAGTCCTTGCAGAAAAACAGCTTATACCCTAGCAAAGCGTAGATGTACAAGACTCGTCCTCTTACCATTCAGCATACTCGACACGCTTCGATGGATCGTTCGATTTTATATCGAAAGCATCGAGATCATATGCAGCATCTTCCATCGTAAGCTCAAATATGCGCTTGGATACTCGATCGCTACGACAAGCTGATGCTGCAATATATACTTGTGCGACTTCGTTCGCCGCCGTCAAATCTGCATCCCCATTCAAAAGCAGAAAGCGGGTTCGATGCCATCTTTCTTGCGATAACATTGCCGCTCGCATCGCTGGACGTAAAGTCCCAAATCGAAACTCTGGGCGACATGCTGAACGTACTAGGCGCTATTCCAATCACTTCCCTATTCGTTTGTCGACCTCTTTCGTGCAGTTCAGGTGGCATCTGCGCTATAGACACGTTTCATCAGGTACATCGAGCAGCTAACACCGCATACTTCTTTTCAACTACTTACTGCCTATCCAGTTGCGTGGCGCTCCTCTATCCTCGTCTCGCTTACAGCTCTCCTCTTCGTCGCTCCTGAGCGCATCGCACGACAACAAGTACGTGCGTACTTCTACATAACACCTTTTTGTTTCACATGTATCCCGGCAACCTCATTTCACTTTGTCCGGCAAGTCCAACGCGCTAAGCAGCCTCTTAAATGGACGACCGGTTGTTTCCCCACTAGCATCTAAACCCACTCCCGAGCCCATGAACTTGATATTTGCCGAAACATTTTCTCACCGCAACAATTTCACCGTATCGCCCCAGCAATACAGTCTCCCAACTCGCCCCGCTCCTTCTTTAGGATATTCGCATTCTAGCCGCATATATTACCACCCCATGCTCGCCCCGCTCCTTCTTTCAGATATTCGCATTCTAGCCGCATATATTACCACCCCATGCTCGCCCCGCTCGTTCTTTCAGATATTCGCATTCTAGCCGCATATATTACCACCCCATGCCCGCCTCGTCGTCACTAGAACGAGACGGCTGCGATCCGCGCGCGTCGACGCCGTTGTCGCGCGCGCTGACTGTTCCACCGGACGCGCGCGCGTCGCCCGACTTGTCAACTGGTTTACCAGATCCAGAGGAAGACGCTCGCGGCCCTTTTGCGCCCCGCGTCGCGTCCCGTGCGTCGCCCACTGCTGAGACAGCGCGCGATGCCCTACTGGACGAGACGTACGCGAGTATGAACGACCTCCGCCGCGCTCTGAAGGTGCTGTCGGTGCAGAAACGAGCGCCGTACTACATGCACCACAGCAGTCCCCAGCGAATGGAAGCGCGTTGCCCGTCGTGGCGGCACCGCCGGCGTCCCGTGGCGCGGCACGAGAGCTCGGCCGCAGCGGCAGTCCGTCCCGTCTGTGGCTTTGTCGTGTCGGCCAATCGACACGCCAATGGCCGCGTGTACGTGACGAGGGCAGTGATTGCGCACTCGTCGGCCTGTCCTGTGCTCCACGGGCGCCGTGGCGCGAGCTCAGCTGCGCCGGGAGCAGCCGACACGGGACACGCAGCCGCTGTGACGGCGTCGGCGCTGTTGGCGACTGCACTGCCGTTCATGGGCCAACTAGCGACGTGTCGAGGTGGACGCGATGCTGTGAAGCCAAAGGACGTGAGCGACATTATGAAGGAAAAGTTTGGCGTCCAGCCGTCGTACATGACTGCGTGGCGAGCACTGCGTGCGTTCAGAAAACAGCGGAAAGATGAAGATGCGTTGTCGTACGGGAAGCTACAGGGATACCTCCACGCCTTTGCCGAGACAAATGTGGGAAGTGTGGTGGCTTTTGAACACCAGAAGCAGGCGCAGCGTGCACCGCTAGCTGACGCCGCTGCAAAGCCTTTTGCACGTGCGTTCTTGTGTCCACAACCACTGCAAGATGCATTGAGATACTGTCGGGGACCGATGCTGCTGAGTGTTTTCTTGGTGACGTCGGCTTTTGGAGGGGTCGTGTTTACGGCGACAGTGCAGGATGCCATGGGGGACAACGTGCCCATGGCGATTGGTCTTGCCTTGAGCGAGACGGAGGATGAGTGGCGATTTTTTCTCGAGCAACTGCAGCGAGCTTTCCCTGAATTGAAGCGTTACGTCACGTCAATTGTGCACAATCGTGGCGACCACGTATCCCAAGCCATACGTAGTGTCTTTCCCAGCTGCTCGCAATCGGACAAAGTCGAAACGTTCATACGCTCCGCCGTACCAGACGCTGACACTTCCTTGATGTCGCTTTCAGGTTCTCCCATCCCTTTAGAGCCAAGCACGTCTACGTTGCCCTTGGATTCTTCCATGAAGTGGATCGAAGCGCTTTGTAGCAAAGTTCCACTGATGATTCTCGTCGGCTGGGTCTCTCAGGTAGCACGAATGCTTTTTCAGCGTTACGAGCGCTATGGGCACCTGGGATCGGAGTACCCTGCCGACTTCCACTCGATTGCGGCAGAATACGAGAGCCGGTCGTTACAGTATGATGTGGTGCGCACCTCCGAGAAGGAATTTGAGATTATCGACCGGCAGACCAGTGTCGGTCGGGTGGTCAACTTTGCGAAGCAGTCGTGCACGTGTGGCGAGTATGATGTTTCTCGCTTTCCCTGTTTGCACGTGTTTCTTGCCGTGACCCACGCTGGTGTGCGTCAGACGGACACGATCCCACGGATTTTTCTCATGACGTCGCTGAAGGCGCTCTATACTGGACGTATAACGCCGATAGATATCAGCAATGTGCCCTCTGACGGAGTGACAACTCCGCAGCCGTTGCCCAAGATGCGTGGCCGTCCGCGTAAGGTGCATCAAATCCAGCAATCTGGCCATCAAAAGGTGGAGAAACTCTCGTGCAGTGTTTGTGGTATCAAAGGGCACAACAAGCGCACTTGCAAGCGTGTCACCAGCATGCCTGCTCTAGCTTCTCATGCTCCTGATGTTTGTGAGGTGCACACGGACGACGTGACCAACGCTCAAGACGAGACCTTGTTTCTTGTGTCATCATGTACGGAGCGTGCAAGCAGGATATGGTTGAGCGGTGGGGTGTGAGACTGATGTGTGTACGTTGTTTTCACTGTCTGGCAGATGACGATGCCGTTGCATTTGACAGCACTGCGCTAGGGGAAGATGGATCGCATGCCCATGATCGAGACGGTCGGACTCTCGCTTCACCTTCAGGCAAGCGCCGACGGTTGACTGTCCATGTTGGAACAGAGGAAAAGAAGGTCGATGAGATTGAAGAAGAGGAGTCTTCGGTTGTTGCGTTGGTATAGTGCATGTTCGCAACCTGGCGTTTATCACGCTCTTTCAATGCGGCATATTCGACCAGAATATGTACAGAGGTTCCGGCTGTATCGCGTGCCAGTCGACAAGCGTTGTCGGGCGGGGGTCATTGTCCAGTGCTAGACCACTTCGCACGAACGGCATCGGAATCGCAAATGAGCGAGCACAACGTCATCAAGAACGCTTGCAATGAACAACCGGGCTCATCAGTACAAGCCAAAGAATGCAAAGGTCGAAGGGTGCAATGGCATTTGACATGCGCTGTTGTCGAAGGCAGATGCAAGACCGATGCCAGTTTAATGTAATTACGTGCAGGCTTGAAGGGGGCATTTGTAGGTGCTGTGGTCGCAGTCGTTCCGCTTGCTGTCGCTGCTCGTACACAAGCGTCGACGGGTAATGTTGATCGACAAGGACGTATCGAATACCTACGACGCAATTCGGCTCGTTCAATTATACTGGGCTTGTGACGGCCACTTTTGATAACTGCATTTGCTTCCAACATGTCAATAATTCGCCATCACGCTGGCAAGACTACGATCGCAGGTCCCTCCACACTCTGACTTCCGCTTCTTGTTTTTTCAGTCGCGCTATAATGCAATCGTATAGAGGAAGCAAAACTTTTCATTGCATTGACCATAAACACGAATGAGGCAAAGTTGTGCACACAAGAACAAAGTTCAATAGAGATTTACAGGGGCCTTTACCATCACGTTTCGTGGCCGTGGTGCATCGATACTTGCACGCCTGCAAGAAAGGAACAATAATGTAAGAATTTCGACAAGTGCTCCTTGTGTTATCTTCGACACACTCTGACTCTGTAAGAGGCATGTGGCGTAACATCGAATCGAGGAACTTCGGATATCATTACGCAAATGGTGAGCACGTCCTCCCGAGCTATTTTGACCATTCGCGCCCTCATTGCTCTATTCCGAATTCTACCAGACGCTACTGCATCTTGTCGACGCAATCTTTGGATCGAAGACTTCCTTGGTTGACTGACAGAGTTCCTACCTTCAGACAGCGCAGTGTACTTTTGCGACCAAACAATGTTCCCGTATCAGCACTGAAGACAAAATGAACAGCTTAATGGACTACGACATCAGCTCAACCGCTGCTTCATGCACACGATGCGCACGATGATAATATTGTCAAACAGTGGATGTACCGAAGAGACAAACTCTGTCCACACGTGCTGCTTTTGCAATGACAACGCATCAGCGACTAGTGTGCATCAGACCAGCATTAACACAGATCCGTCCACTGTCGCACTCTACTCCCCGTTAGAGCTTGGGTCCTTGTTTTACACATTCCATCCAGCTCTCTCAAGCATCAGTCTGTCTTTGTCGTTTCTGCCGCGCTGCGAAAGAAACAAGACTGTTAGCAACATGATAACATGCCGACCGCGCGTACAAGAGCAGCTACTCATCGCAGACTTCAAATTTTCTCGAAAGAGCAGTGCTGTAGATTGTCCATGCCAAGTGCGAGGGACTGTGGGCAGAGAAGACCGTAAAAGCGGATTTGATCAGTGTGGCTCAGTGTGCCTATTGAACAAAAACATAAACTAGACGTCTCGGAGCTTCGGCCAGGCATGACTAAATCAAGACGTTGATAGAGATATACCACACAAAGGCATCATTCGAACACCTCGACTACCGTCACCATGCCAAACAAACCCATTACCTAGAGCTGTCTTCAGCACATCCGTTCGATCTTGCAACACATGGGCAAGAACAAGTGTTGGTTATCGTTGCGATCGTACGAAAAGCTCGGGCAGAGGAGACGCAGACATCACTGAAAGCGTTGCATGGAGCTGGCTATCTCCATCGCGTTGACGTCCAAGAGCCAGCGGGCGATCAAAAGCTGAGTAACAAAGAAGAACGGAAGAGAGAGGGTGATCAGATGACGATGAACATGCATGTTTTTCAAGTGCACCGACGAAGACAACAGCAAGCTGAGCGTGAGATTAGACACAAGGCACGCTGACGCACCGGCTTTTGTATCATGAATACAGCACAGCAAACATGTAGTCCTTCGCCACATTACTGCATCATCTTTGCGGTCCTCAGACGGTTGATAGCGGCTGCCAGCTGCACGCAAAGACATCAGCAACTCAATGTCGACACTGGGCTATCGACGGACTCGATAGGACGTACCTCAAGCTTCCGCGGCCGAGCGTAGAACCCATACTTTTTGTGGAAACCCACTACATCAAGTGAACCTGTGCGGTCGATTTCGCTTTCAAGCATGTCCAAAATCTCCTGCAGGTTCAAAAAGAGGACAGCACACCGAACATGAGTGGCACTGACACAATCACATGTAGGTGTCTGGTATCGATTCGCACCTTGAGAGTGCGCTTTCCATCCATGAAAGAACGAGCTTTTTGAATGGCGTCAGCAATGGTGCGAACTTGACTGGGCTCCACAATCTGCTCAACGGCGCTCAGATCCAATTCCACCTTCACGTTGACCAGTACAACACAACAGATCGAGACAGTAGCACGTAAGTTACTATCCCATGATCAAGCACGCCCTCGATAAAGACATCACATCGTACCTCGCCGTATTGGATCTTACCCAGTCCGCGCGAAACGACTTTGCCATTCACCTCAAAGCCACATTTTTGTGGAATGCGTCCCGTGACACGACCAAACTCGGTATCCTGTTGTACCTCACAATAGTCACTCGCAATCTTTTTGGCCTCAGCAGTGACATCCCGCGGTTCGTAAGAGTCCATCATAATGACGTGATCGGCGACAGAAAAGTAGTCGCCTGCACCTCCGATGACAAGAATAGACGACACTCCACGTTGCGCGTACAGCGCGCGCACCTTTGAAATGAAAGGCGTAATGGGTTCTTTGTTTTTGGCGACCAATTGTTGCATTTTCCTGTCGCGGATCATAAAGTTGGTCGCACACGTATCTTCGTCAATAAGCAGCGTCGTGGCTCCAACTTCAAGGGCCTCGACTATGTTAGCTGCCTGCGACGTGCTCCCGGACGCGTCAGCAGTAGAAAAGCGGGTCGTGTCTTGCTTGAACGGCAAGTTGTCGATAAACGCACTAATGTCCGTGCACACGACACTACGGGAGTCTTCGGATCGAATCTTCACAGCATTTGGATCCACGACGACGAATTCCCGTCCATCCAACGGCACGTGGTTGTACACACCCACTTCTAGAGCTTTCAGCACTGTGCTTTTGCCGTGAAACCCGCCACCGACAAGCAGCGTAACACCTCGGGGGATGCCCATGCCCGTAACACGTCCGCAGTGTGGCAGCGTGAACGACCGCCTCATTGACTCGGGCGACTTGAACAACACAGCAGCGTCCCAGCTCCGCGGCAGGTCCGAGGCGCCCGATTGCCTCGGCAGCACGGCGCCCTCGCGAACAAAGCCCACGAGTCCTGCTTCGAACAGCATGGACCTCAGCGTCTCCTGGTCTTCCACCGACTGCACGTGAGCCCACAACTTGCGCTCGTCTTGCCTCGCAAACACCAGCGACTGGTCCACCAGCTGCGGCAACGTCTCGACTACGACCGCGCGCGCCCAGTCGCCACAAATGCGGCGGCCACGCGCGGGCAGGTTGATGCTGAACCGAACTTCGACCGCGCCCGTGGGCAGGACGTTGACACTCGTGCGCTCGAGCACGTGCTGCCCGGGCGCGTCGACCGCAATGTCGCCGCCTTTTGCCCCCTGCCACGACGTGCTCCCAGTCTTTGCATCGGCGCCGCTCGTGCGTGCGCAGCGCGCAAAGACGCGCGTCAAGTAGTCGCACAGCGCGACGGTGCGGGTCTTGGACTGGTACAGCGCCGGCGGGAACGCCGCCGAGGCCGGCGCCACTGTCACGTGCGCCCGCGAGGGACTCGCGTACGGGTCGCCCTGCACGTGGTCGAACGCGAGCGCAAAGCAGAGACCCGCGCGGCTGTCGAACGCGAACCGCGCGCACTTTAGCTCGTGGTACGCGCCGTAGTTTCGGTTGTGGAGCTCGTGGAAGAGGTCGGCGAGTTGGGGCCACGACGCAGTGGGTACGGGCAGCGGCGCGCGGTCAGCGCAGTGAGATTCTCCTTCGTCGTTGTTGTGGTCGTTGTGGTTGTCGTTGTGGTTGTCGTTGTGGTTGTGGTTGTTGTCTTCGGGTCGGGGAGCAGGTGCGCGAGTGGTTCGGCCGCGACCGCCACGTCCGTATTTGTGGCGGTAGAAGTCTCCGCGACCCATTTCGAGTGTCGTCGTGTGGTCTGTCGGTTGGAAACGTTTGTGAGGAGCTACAGACATTGAGTGGAGTGGGGAACGCAGGAGGGGGTCGGGGGACACGACAGTGGCAATGGGATGACGGCCGGATCGAGTGAGCGCAAAGAGAGTGAACCCAAGTGCGGGTTTATGGTACCGGGAACAGTGTCACTGGTAACGCATTTTCAGGCTTCCACTGCTTGTTGCATGCGACCAATTGTTAGGTTTGCAACGTCTGTCGTGAAGGCACGAGCTATGCTGGATCCTGATGTAGCTTTGCAAGCCGAAATGTGTGCGGACGAGACGCCTTTCCAGCGGCGGCGCTAGAGCGCTGGTGTCAGAGCAAGACACAGATCCGGCGATTTTGCTGGCTCCTTTGTTAAATGGGTGTACATGGTGTTGTCCCACGATGCATTCGCAACGTGCTTCTTTGCTGCCTGGGTATATAGCATATACATCTCATGAGCTTACTTTGCACCATATGCCTGCGCGTACGTGCAAGCACTTGACGAACGTGGCGTCAATTGATCGACATGTGCATCGTTCCCCCTAGCACAGCAATGGAAGAATATATCTTTGTAACCATGCGGTGCCGACTCCTACACGGGTAAGATGCAAATATGCTATTTAACTGGGTCATTCATTGCTTAGACCTTGTGGTTCAATCGAACTTTCTTACGTCGCACTTTACAGGAACCTTCACAGCTGAGTACAAGATGCCCTGTTCACGCATCGTGATCTAATTGGAGACATGCATTGCATTCATGGACCGAAATATGAGAGTCTCTGTTATTTCGTCGATCATTGCCTCATTCCTAGGGATCGGCATCCGAGCCGGTACCGTTGCAGCTTTTACCTTGCTCGATGAGTGCACAATTTGCCACCCTCCTGTGCCTATACGCACAGAGAAGTCAGGTGTCAATGTGCAAAAGCATATCTCCTCGCACTAGCCGCTGCTAAGCGACCGGTCAAGACTTGTCAGTCGCTATGACAGGCTCACGAGGCAATGTCAACTGCTTTCTGACGCAACGTATCAAAACAGGCTGTTATTCGATCTCGTGGCGAGTGCATTTATCCTAAGGCAGCCCGCACGTTGTGTCAGGAAATACGACCTTGAGTTCGACAGAGTTACGGTTTAGATAGTTTCCTTTCAAGGGCTCTTTGAATTGAGACGTGGATTTCTTAATCCGGGGGTTCTCACCGAGGACATTGTCGTCAATGGATGATATGCTGTGACTCATTCGCTCTCAATATATTACATAGCCGATTGAATATGGCCTCGCAGTTGCCCTCAACGACGAGTAAGCAGATCTACTTGACTTTGTCGCCACGCAGATCTAGCAAGAAAATGCGTTCGCTTCAGCTTTGGCAATTGTACCATATCCGAAGTTGGTCTCACCGGCGCAATTAGATCAAGCATATTAAGATTAAGCAATATCCTCTTTACATCGAAATGCTCAGCGTCTCGGTGGAGACCTGAGAACATACTTTCTCAAACTCTTCAGGATTGGTTCCCTCGGTATTAGCGCAACCACAGCTAGGTCATCTACAATCGACTCCACAGCTCATCTAGAGTTGCCGTGTTTGCGCTTTTATAAGCTTACTTAGTCACGAGGAGAGATCTAAACCATTTCCTTCTTCCGGAAGTATGTTTCCCTTGAGGCGAGCACTTGTGCTCAGATCCACTCACTTGTTTGACTCGTGGTCCTTCGTAGCTGCCCGTGGATATACACAGCAGCTGAGTTGTTTCACCGTGTGGCTAGCTACGACACAGTTTTTTTGTGCGGTGGAGATAACGCCATATCACGAGTGAGTCCATCGCAGTAACTATTATAAACTTGCACACAAGCAAGCGGTCTGAGACACTCATTGAAATGACTTTCTGAATAGCTAGCAGCAGTCATTTTCGCGAATTGATACTACCAGCTATGTAATTTCGCATAGCTTCCGAGCCAGGGTGGTCCAATGTGACATCAAACTTGTCATAAGCATATAGCGCGACGAATTGTCATTTTATTGCACATTTCCAAAGCGTAGTTGATTCTTACTACAAGTTTCTTCACTACTGCGGGGGGGGCTGTTGCAAATTACGACGTCACCCTCATGGAAGAGCGTCGCGCTCAACGAGCGTAAGACTATACTCCTTTGTAATCTGTCGTCGTTCAAAGTCAAGCTGACTTTCTACACAGTCAAAGAAGGCGAGGAGCGACACATCTTTTGATCATGAATGAGACGAAAGCTATCTCATAAACGATGCGTCATACCACAGTACTGGTGTACTTACTGTAGCATCTGTCACGAGGCCTGTGAGCGACGTTGCTGTATCAGTACTATACTCCGACCAAACTGATCCTGACCGCTTTAGACGATCGGTTAAGCTGTTGCGAACTCCTAGCAATGTCGAATACACGTCCTTGTCCCTTCTTGGTGGATATACAATCACTCCGCTCAGTGTAATAAAAGACAGGGGATGCCCATGATCGTATTGCTCTAAGTCTTGACAGCAATTGCCTCTTGCGATCTTGCAAGAGCTAGATCTAGCGCTCTTGTCACATCAGCTATACACAGAAAGGAACCTTTGTTGACTTGCACTCGAGTTAGGCGGTAAGGCCTGAGATGGCATGAGCCTACACCACCCTCTTCAATATCTAATTCACCACGTAGATTGCTTGTTCAAGCGTCCCCAGTTCAGACTGAACAGATGGGCCTCGACGAATTCATCCACAAGACCCTTAATGAACACAGCAATATGTAGGCTCATCAGTAGGATCACACGCAATCCGAGTACGAGTCGATATTTGTTTTGCGCGTAAGTGTGTAGGATCGTACTCGACAATATTCAGGCCTTGTGGCTCCTAAATTTAACACGTGGCGGCCATACCTATCTTCCGAAACGCGCTTGGAGTTGTCATAATATTACCCAAAACGCGCTTGGATTTGTCATACGATCTCAGCCGATATAAGTCGTAAAGAATGAGCCTAATGACCGAACTTAGAGCGTTAAGCCGGGTTGCACATGCCAAGTTTCACCTATATCGCATCTTTTCGATGCGACGAGAGTCGATGGCGTTGTCAATCTCGACAAATAATCGCAGCAACGTATTTTTGGTGCGGGTTGACCATAGATGAGTCCATATCATCATATCAATGCTGGCTTCAATTCATAGGAAGTCGTGTTGCAGAATGATTGTGGTCGTCCACGATCAACCAAAATCGACATTCACTCATTACCCGTGCACCGTTTATGTGTCATCATAATTGTAGGTTTATTCGTCTCATATGTCGCTCGTTGCATGCAAGATACAAGATCTGAGAAACAGCTGATTCGAGCCGGCAGAGACCTTGCAACATTTCCTTCGCTCAGACACTACTTCTAAATATGCTGTACATGTTAAGGACCGACTTATTCGTGTCAGCTCGACACTAAAAGAAACGTAGAACAAAAGGGTGTCAAAAGAACGACCAAACATGTAAATACGATGCATGCTGCCGTCATAAAATATGGTCTTGAGGGGCTGCTTTTTGATTAGCAGCTTTGATTTTCGCGAAGAGGCTGGCTGAGCAGCTTCCTTTTACCTCGATCTGCTCTTTGGAAATAAACTCGGCAATCCTGGTGTGTTCTTGTCTCTGTTTAAGCAAGCAATGCGGTACAGGTAGCTAGTTGCAGACGTCAAACTGGTTGTTCGACTTCTCACCATTCGATATCACTTAAATGATATATATCAAGCTGCCATAAGATTTATAAAACTGATATGATTTCTTTTTTTAGTGGACGCGTCCGTGGTCTTCAGACGGACCACAATTTTATCTACCAGAGTAACGCGTCACTTCCCGCATATTAGAACATAGCACGATATACTTACGGACAAAGTACAGTACGTACTTTCCCCCTTCACTTTTGTAGATGATGCCGCAAAAGCTACTGAATGTTATATTGGTTGCACTTTATAAAAACGATCATTACATAGAAGAATATGCGTTTTTATCGTATTATCTGTTTTATATTCATTTCGATCAATCAACTAACGTTGATTATGTTGACTACCTGCTCGACCAATGTTGCGCCCATGTTGCATATCGTTGCATGTATAGCTGCTGTTGAACCACTCTTATGACAGAACACATCACACATGACAGCATTGAACCTACACGTCGATAAGCAAGTTGATGTTAAGACCAATCTGAAACGGATTATAGTACAGAAGGTATATCGATGCCTGACTTGAACCAACGACTGCGTGAACGTAGGACACTCATGCAACCTTTCGTTCTTACATTTATAAAAAGGTCGAAACAGTAATACACTGTTGTAGGGCGATACGGATAAAAAGTGTGCATTGCAAGTGCAATTATATGCATCCGTCTACACGTGTGTATATTTTCTGCTTTTAAGTAGTACAAGACGTATTGGATAGAAAGTTCGCATCCTAGGAACTGCGCTGTAATCAGTCGGGAAGAATTGATAAAGCCGACCCAAATGTCATTGGATCGGTACGGGATGACAGAATGTGGAAGCTTCGGGTTTTGGTGCTTATGAGATGCTAGCACCTAACTATCCGACAGTGACGTCCCCCACTTCGTTGGCTGTTTCCACACGAACGAACTGGTCCACCGCAGCCAGAATTGGATCGAGATGATGATCAATAATTCGCCAGATTGAAGTTACGGTCATATGTCGAAGATAGCAAAGAAACTGACATCATGTAAAGATATGCTGCACGGTAAAAAGAGATAAACATACGTTACACATTTTCCTTCTGCTTTTTACTGCATCGGCCTCAAGTGTCATCCATGAAGAGCTGGCTTTCATCGATAACCGATAATGACATCGGCTCTCAAGTAGTCACGCCGCCAAAACGGTGTCCGCCAAAAAGTAAGATGATAAAGTTGTTGGACGCTACACCCATTATCACTTACAGATGCCATGCCGGTGACCCCGGAGAGTAAAGTACTGCTTGCGCACGTATAAGGGTCAAACCGGATGCTAA